GACAGGGTCTCATTATGTAGCTCAGGCTGGCCTCGAACTTTCAGTGATCTTCCTGCCCCAGCCTCCTGAATGCTGGGATTATAGGCGTGCACCACCACTCCCAGCTCTCTTACCCTTCTTTGATGCCATATTTTCTGTTACTGCAGCTGGAAGGTGACACCATCACCTTGAAGCCCCGGCCTTCAGCTGACTTGACCAATAGCAGTGCCCCATCCCCATCCCACAAAGTACAGCGCAGTGTCTCAGCCAACCCCAAGCAGCGACGCTTCAGCGACCAGGGTATGTGGTTCAGGGAGTTGCAAGTAGGGGTTCGAGGGGCTCTAGGTGACAGCTGAGTTTTAGTCCTGGTTCAACCACTTACTAGTAGCATGGCTGTGAGCAAGTCGCTAACTTCCTACACCTCTGTGAAGCAGGGATTTCTCATAAGAAAGCTCCATTTATAGAGTTGGCCCTCAGTGGGCACCCAGCCTTATCTGTCTCACCCCACAGCTGGCCCAGCCATTCCCACCTCTAATTCGTACTCTAAGAAGACTCAGAGTAACAACACAGAAAATAAACGGCCTGAGGAGGACCGGGAGGCAGGGCGGAAGGCCAGCAGCACTGCCAAAGTGCCTGCCAGCCCCCTGCCCGGCCTGGAGAGGAAGAAGACCACTCCTACCCCCTCCACGGTGAGCCATGGCCTCCATCCAGGGCCAGGGCCCTCTTCCTGTCCTCTGTCCTTCCTGTGTGGGGCCTCCTCTCCCCAGGCCACTCTTTTAATCCAGACCCTGGGCCTCTGGCTGCCATTTTTGCTTACTGTAGAAAACCCATCCTCCTGGAGGAAGAGCATAATCCTTTTTTGAACCTTCCACTATCTGCTTGAGGGGAAGAGAGGGAGGGAAGCTGTTCCCTGGCTCGGGTATAGAGGATGACTGGAGAACCCCTAGCTTCCTGTGAGACAGCTCTTGCCTTCACTCCCTCACAGAATAGTGTCCTCTCCACCAGCACAAACAGAAGCAGGAACTCCCCACTTTTGGAGAGGACCAGCCTTGGCCAGGCCTCCATCCAGAACGGCAAAGACAGGTGAGCAGCTGGACCACCTGCCACACTCGTGTGCCTCCTCTTACAGTGATGAGGTTGTATCTGTTAGCATCACAGGTTTCCCCTTTTTTCCCCCCAGAGTACTGCCCCTGCTCCCTGGAGTCTCGTCCTGGCTCTGTTCAGTCTGGCCGTCCTCCTTCCCCTCCCCTGCTCCACGCCATCCCTCCTCCCTGTCTTCTCTGACTGCTCCTGCTATTTGCTGAGGCTGGGACTCCAATAGTCATCTCAGCAACCTTCCTGCTTCTTGGCTGCGGCCAGGCCTGGAGCAGTCTCTTCTAGGTTCCTAAGGCTTTGTCTTTGAGGGTCCCAGCTCAGGGCAAAAACAGGAGTGCCCATCTGAGGGGGTGCACATTGAGGGACTCCAGCTGTGCTCTGACAGCAAAGTTCCCCATCCTGACAGCTGATTTCCTGGGTTATCACATCCTGGCTCTACCTCTTCTGAGCTTAATGAAAGTTTCCCCATAGCAACACCCTGCTCTTTCTGTAGAAAAAACATCCCTGTTCGGAGAATTCCTAGGAGACCAGAACAACTGGAGGCAGTGGCCTCCTGTCAGCTTTCCCTCATTTTGATTTTCTCTTCCCAGGTTCTGTCTTACCTTACTGCTTTCTCACCCTGCCCTCTACTTCCCATCTCTCCATCCACATCTCTGACCTGCAGCCTGCTGATGCTCCCAGCCCTGGCCCTGGCCCTGGCCCTGGCCCTGGCCCTGGCCCTGGCCCTGGCCCTGCCCTTGCTTCCTAACCAACACAGGCTCCTACCTCACTCATCCCCTAACCCGGGCCTCTCCACTGCTTTTGTCTCCTAGCCTAACCATGCCAGGGTCCCGGGCCTCCACGGCTTCTGCTTCTGCCGCAGTCTCTGCGGCCCGGCCCCGCCAGCACCAGAAATCCATGTCGGCCTCCGTGCACCCCAACAAGTCCTCTGGGCTGCCCCCCACGGAGAGTAACTGTGAGGTGCCGCGGCCCAGGCAAGTGTGCTGGGGCAGCTGGTGCACCTGCTGCCCTCAGCCTGCCCTCCCCCTTCCCCAGCAAGTTCTTCCCACCTGGGGGGCTTGTTCCCTTCTTGTAATTTTAGCCACAAGAAATGGCTGTATCCTCTGAGGCTAGGAAGTAGAGGGCACAAAAATATAGCATTAATGCCCCTCTTTTCCTTCAATTCTCCTTCTCAGAATAGGTATGCAGGAAACTCCTGAAGCTCCAAAGGGAAGCCTTTTTGTTATGAAACTCAATCCTTGAGGATTGGTCCCCATTGTCCCCTTGAAGGTCCAGGGAGCCAGCTCTCTCCAGCCTGTACTGTTCTCACACATGGGTCCTTCCTTGTCTCCCCTCCTCCCTCCCCAAACCATCTCCTCCCACTTCCACAAGACTCCTCACTGCTGTCCTCAGTGGTCACTCCCGTCCTTCTGTGTCCTCTGTGATGCCTGCGTCTTCCCTAGCATCTCCCCTCCCCATCCCCACCACAGGGCATTCCAAGTGCTTGGTGGTGACGGCTTCCCTGTACCTGACACATTCCCTTGCCCCCACCTCTTTTCCCACAGCACAGCCCCCCAGCGTGTCCCTGTCGCCTCCCCCTCTGCACACAACATCAGCAGCAGTGGTGGAGCCCCAGACCGAACTAATTTCCCCCGGGGTGTGTCCAGTCGAAGCACCTTCCATGCTGGGCAGCTCCGACAGGTGCGGGACCAGCAGAATTTGCCCTACGGTGTGACCCCAGCCTCTCCCTCTGGCCACAGCCAGGGCCGGCGGGGCGCCTCTGGGAGCATCTTCAGCAAGTTCACCTCCAAGTTTGTGCGCAGGTGAGCAGGGAACTTGTCATGGCAGAGAGGCTGGGGCCTAGCCTTTCTGTTTGCCTGGGAAGTGGGGTAGGGCCAACAGAACTGGGATTGGGTCCTAGGGTTAGAAGAGGTCTCAAGAAGCCTAAGAATTGGGTCATTGGCAACACCTTATGTGCTCAAAACCCATCCTTTAAGGCCTCTCCCCAACTCCTCACAGGCACCCCTTATTCTCTGGCCCCAAGCAGATGGGTGATGCCGCCTCCTCTCTCGGGGAGTGTGAACTCAGATGCTAAAATAAAAGCCCCCCCTTTTCTCTCCTGGGTTCCCATGGAAACTTATATTTGGTGACGCAGCTGCAAAGTCATGAGGCATGAGCCGGGCTGGGCTGACAAGCAAATCTTTCCTGGTCTCTTGTCTTGCCCCCTTTGACCTCGTTTCTGCCCATGGTGACCTACCCAACAGCCCTGCTGCTCTTGTGCCTTCCCATGTAGATGTAGGTGGGAATATTTTCCCCAGGCTTTTCACACCTGGAGCCCCAGCTACCAGAGGGACTGTTGGAGGTACCTCTGGCTTCTTGGGATGCTCTCTGTCTCCTCCCTCCCCTCCTCTCCCCATCTTGGACTCACAGCTAAGGAACCGGCAGGGAATTTTGAGAGAGCAGGCCTCCCTGCCCTTCTGGAATAGCCAAAGCCACTAGCCATCAATGCCGCAACTTTGAGGGCTACTGAGAGGGTGGGAGCAGACCCGAAGTACAGTACAGGACTCTAGTCTCGCTGAGCGGCTCTTCCAAAACTGGGCAACCCTTGAACCTGGGAAGCCCACTCCCTACCTGCTTATCCACATATCGTCTTGTTGGGTTTTTTTATTTCTTTTTTTATTTTGTCTTTTTTTGTTTGTTTTTTTAGAAATCTGTCTTTCAGGTTTGCCAGAAGGTAGGCGTTGAGCCCGCTGTGTGTGTGTATATGTGTGTGTCTGTCTTGTGTTTGTGTCCTGCCCCCAACACTAACCCCTTTTTCTGGCTCTTGCTCCCCCTCCATCTGCTAACCTAGTCTCTGTGGCTTTCCTTTCTGCCATCTTAAAGGGATGAAGACTGCTCGGAGTGGACCTGGGCCCCAGGCCACCTTCCCTGCCCCTTTAGACAGGCATGGCTGGAAACACATGGCCTTGTAGGGGACCTTCCTTGGGTGAGGGTATACCTGTCCTCCAACAAGAGGAGACCTTTTCAGGGACTCTCCCTTTAAGATTGTCTCCTCTCACCTGCCCTAGGTTTTGGTCACCAGTGTTGGGCTCCTTTTCTGGCCCTTTCCCATCTTGTGTGCATGTGCTACGAGGAGGTCCACGGGTTAAAAGTGCATATGGGATGGTCTCATTTGGGGTCCCCCTGGCTTGCTGAACTTTGGGGCTGTGTGATCTCTTCCCCCTGGCCTGTGAAATGGCAGGACTTTGGAGATACTACAGAGACATTGGAGTCCCCAAGCTAAAGTCTGACTCTTCCAGGCCCAGGAAATTTTGCTTCATGAGTAGGACACAGCACCCCCTTCTGGCAACTCCTGCAGAATCAGCCCAGCCTGCCCTGCCCCAGCAAACCTGCTCCAGCAGCATCTGGATGAGTCACTTCCCTCCTCCAGGATGCCTCCTCCGCATATGGCCTGTGCCTGCCAAAGAGCCAGGAGCTGGATAATCCCCCAGGCCCTGGCAGAACAGCAGGAGATCCTCACCCTCCCTCAGGCATCTCCCTCATGGGCCAGCTCTTCGCTCTTTCAGCCCGGCCTTGTCTTCCTCTCTGCACACCTGGCTGAGCCAAATACCAAGCCACACCCAGGGCCAGGTCAGAAACACAGGTTGCCAGAGAGGCACACTGGTGGCCCAACTAAGGGGAAAACTGGCCAGACAAGGTCTTCAGGCCTTCCCAACCCCTATTCCTCCCCCAGCTCATTGCATGGCTGGTGGGGCCCGCTCTGCAGGGGCTGGGAGAGAGTGGCCAGGGCTCCTTCCCTTGCACAGCCAGGCCCTGATCGCAGTGCGCTTGTTGGCATCCACATGTCTGTGTGTCTTTGTGTTTCTTCTATATGTGCTGCTGCTGCTCTCCCTCCTCACATCCCTCCCTCCCTTTGCAGTCCTCAGTTTCCCAGCTCCAGGCACCCATCTTCTGGGCAGGAGCTGGAGAAGCCGCTCAGCGGGGCCAGACCTCTTCCTATCCCCCCAAGGCATCTGCCTGGCCCCTGGCCCCTGGCCCCTGGCCTCTGGCCTCTCGCCTCTCTCCTGTATAAGCAGTGGGGCCTGGCAGGCTGGGGGTAGGGGAGTTTTAAGTGCAGGTAGCAACTGCTTTTCCAGTTTGGCCAAAGATGCCCAGCCCCAGGTGTCCACCATGCAGCTCCAGTTCTCAGTACTCTGGGCCTCCTAAGAGAGGCTTGTGTATCCTCCAGCTCCTCCCCAACAGAGACCCAAAACCTCATTCCAGAGGCCTTCTTTCTGCAACCCTGGTGCAGTGGTATAAAGGACCCACTCCCAGGTTCCCTCCTCAGTAGAGAGCAGGAGCCTGGCTGTGGGATGGAGGGGGAGCTGCTCGTACTGGGCCTGTGATGGGGACTTGTGCCTGCACAGCCACACCCCTCCTCCCCCAGCAGCGGCTCCTTCTCCTGGGACAGATCTCTGGGAGTGTGGGGAGGGACAGGCTCCCTGTTAGAAGGGATGGTCGAGCTGCTGTTATGAGGTGCTGCAGAGCCATGCTGGCCTGCAGGTGACAGGCAAGTCACCTTTGGGCTTGGGTTCTGCCCACCCACTGGTGGCACCTCCCCAGACCCACCCTCACCTGGGTCTGTGGTGGTGGAAGGAGCGAGAGATCCCAGCACTAAATTCTCCCTCGCTCTGTTTTTTGAGGAACCTGAATGAACCTGAAAGCAAAGACCGAGTGGAGACGCTCAGGTGAGAGGGCCGGAGCCAGCACTGGCCCTGCCCAGGCCACCGGGCTTGGCACAAGCCTCCTACTCCTCTCTTCCTTTTGCCACTTGGCTTTTCCTCTGGTTTCTGCCCTGTCCTCACCCTCTTGGGTCCTCCCTTTCCTCAGAATTTCCCTTTTCCAGACCCAGTGCAGTAGTTCTGGGCCCTTATTCTCAGATCCTAGATACTCTGGAGGTTGTAGCCCTGGGTCGGGCGGTTGGGCCACTGGTTCCTGTCCCTTGGCTACCTCTCCTCTCTGTGCCTCAGCTGCTTTCTAGAGGGACAGTGTGTACTCGGTGTGGATAAATGCATTTGTTTCTCACCTGACAGCCCCTTTTCAAAGAAAAGAACCAGTAACAGCATGGAACTGTCACCCCCACCCCACCCATGCTGCCTTCTCATCCTTGCTCTCTGGAGAAATGAGGGCCAGAGGGCTGCCTGCCCTTCTTGCCCCCTTGCTGCCCCTTGGACCAGGGTTAAACTGCTCCCTGTTCCAGCTCCCTGTTCCAGCTCGCTGCTCTGTGCTCTCTTACTCTTCTCTCTGGTCTCAGGGTCTGTCTGCCAGGGTGGGGCTGCTGTGGGTGGGGTGCCTCCACCCATTGCCTGATGTCCACCTCTGCCCTCTCCACAGACCTCACGTGGTGGGCAGTGGAGGCAATGACAAAGAAAAAGAAGAATTTCGGGAGGCCAAGCCACGCTCACTGCGCTTTACATGGAGTATGAAGACTACAAGCTCCATGGAGCCCAATGAGATGATGCGGGAGATCCGCAAGGTGCTGGATGCGAACAGCTGTCAGAGTGAGCTGCATGAGAAGTACATGCTGCTGTGCATGCACGGCACGCCAGGCCACGAGAACTTCGTGCAGTGGGAGATGGAGGTGTGCAAACTGCCACGGCTCTCACTCAACGGTGTTCGGTTTAAGCGGATATCGGGCACCTCCATGGCCTTCAAAAACATTGCCTCCAAAATAGCCAATGAACTGAAGCTTTAACAGGCTGCCCGGAGCGGGGGCGGCAGAGGCAGCCCAGCTGGACTTGGCTGCTGGGGCTGGCCGCTGCACCCCACCTAGGCGAGACTGCAACAATGAATTGGTGTGTCTCCCCTGCTGGCACTTGTCCCCTCCCTGGTCCTTCTCCGTTTTTCTTCCATGTTTGTGGAGGACAGGAGATGGCTCTCCTCCACCTCATATTCACCCTGGCCCAGAAAGTCCCCCTTCCCCTCTCTCTCCTGCAGGAGGCAAAGGAAGGGGAGGGGGCAAGGGGGTGCAGGGCTCCCCCTTGGTACTGCGGTTGCACAGAGTATTTCGCCTAAACCAAGAAATTTTTTATTACCAAAAAGAAAAAAGAAAAAAAAAAATCCCAGCGGCCACTTTTCCTCCCTGCCCCATTGGGACAGACGGGACTGGATCTGTGGGGTTTCCCGGGAGGGTGGCTCAGGGCTGGAACACTCTCAGGCAAGAGTGGTGGAGTTCCCTGGCAGGCCCTCCGCCAGGCCCACTTTGGGCTTCTCCCCTCTCCTCCCCTTCTTCCCCTCCAAGCAAACCACCAGAGGTGGCCTTCCCCTGCCCCCAGGTCCCTGGGCTGCGGGCCTGGGGGCCAGGGGCCAGGCGGGGGTGCTGCACAGCCCTGGAGAGGGTGGGGCTGCCGTGGGGGCCCTGGCCTCCCTCACACTGTATCCTCTGCCCTTCCTTCCCCAGAGCTGGGCATTTCCTTCCACAAGCTGCTGTGGGGACATTTATTCCCCTCCTCAAAAGTCTGTGCCATCTTCTCCTGTCCCTCCTGCTAGGAGGGCTGACCCAGGGCTGAGAGAGAGGGAGGGGACTGCAGGGCAGATGGGCTCCTCAGGCCCCCACAGGCCACTCAGGCCCCCGAGCTTCTCTGAACAGGATGCCGGGCTTCTCCGTTCTGGGAGAGCCTTTTTCTGAAAGCACAGTCCCCTCGACGTCCCTCCTCCCCACTGCTTCCCCTTCATTGGCATTAATCTGGGCACCAGCTCGTTACATAGTGACTTCCCATACCACTCTCATCTCTCGGCCTTGCCTTTTTTTCCTGACACTGTCGCCCCTCCTCTCAGGAGACTGCCCAGGGCCTCCAAGGCCACCTGGCGGAAGGCTGGATTGGGCGGCAGGGCTGGGAGCATCTGCCCCCCGTGGGGGGGGAACAGATGGGTGAAGTGACTCCCCGCTTGCTAACCTCTGCGGCCAGTGTGGGAGTGGGTGGCTATGGGCGCTTGGCTGGTGGCGGCCACTGCATCCCTTAATTTATTTCTCTGCTGTTTCAGTTCTTGAGAAATTGAGGGAGGGGGACCTACAGAGGCTGCCCCTGCCCTCACTTGAGTTGTACATTTTTTTGTGATGGGTTTTATTTTTTATTATTTTATTATTTTTTTGATTTATGATGACTCCACCCCTGTTCATCACCCCCAGTCCCAGGCCAGGCTCAGTGACAAGTCAAGCCCTTGGGTACCAGGAAGGGGCCTCGCCAGCCTCACCCCTCTGGTTCCCTGCTCCCAACTGTGGCTCCGGCTCAGACCAAGGGCTCCCCCCTCCCTCCCTCCTCCCCCCTGCCCTATGGAACAGCCTGGGTGCTCTGAGGGGACCAGGAGGGCATGGCTTGGCTCCTGAGGGGGTGGAGGCCAGGGGCACCCAGGCAAGGTGGCCCCTCCCCACCTAGCCCCTCCTTCCCTGCACTTAGTTTCTTCTCTGGATCAAACACGTAATAAAGAGAATGTTTGGAATCTGAGCTGCCTCCTCCAGTTTCTTCTCCCTGCCCCACTGGAACCCAGTTCCCCTTGGGCAAGATGTGGCCCAGCCTGCCTTGCAGGAGAGAAGTGGTTTCTGGCTGGGGCCTGGGGAGCAGCCAGGGCTGGGAAGGCCTGTTCCCTCCCACCTCAGAACAGGAAAGGGAAAGAAGACTGGGCAAGCTTAGGAGGTTGTATTTATTTTTTAAAAACGTTGAAAAATAGACCCATGTCTGCATAAGTTCCCAATCCCCCTTCAAGCTTGGGGAGGGGGGGGCAAGTGGGCACACTCAGGTCCTCAGCATTGCCACCTGGTCCTGAAGACAGGCTTCCTGACCAGCCTGTGCTGCTGTCAGGCCTCAAGGAACCTTTGGCCACCTCCCCCATCCCCTCCCACTTTACCCCAGTCTTATTGCTAAAAGGGAGGGAAAGGGGAACAAGGACAGTCAACACACCAAACTGTCCTCCTCCCAACCCCCACACTAAGGTCACTACCTCCTACACACACAGGGCAAGCCCAAAGGCCAAGCCCCCAGACAGGGAGGCAGCCATTCCAGTCCCAGCCAGGAACCAGCCCTCAGGCCAGCTCAGAAGGGCCCCTGAACCCCAGCCTCTGGCTAGGGGGAGACAGCCCAGCTGCCAGGAAAACAGGCAGCACCCTCAGCTCCAGGCTGTGCTAACTGGCAGCTCTAGGTCTGTGAAAGACCTGGTAAGAGCCCTAGTCGCTTCTGTCCTCAGTGAAACCAACGATACCCAAGGATGTCCAGCAAAGAGGCTCAGGCACCTCTAGGTGGTGCAGGAGCCCAGGTCTCAGAGTGAGGGGGCTGGAGGCTCCAGGGAGGCTCCAATCAGGGTGGGTGGGGGCTGAGGCCCAGGGCGAGCACTGTGGCGGGAGGCAGCCAGAGCCGGGCGGATGAGAGGCGGTGGGGGCTGGTTGGGGGCCAACCGGGGCTGCAGGAAGCGGCCCTGCTGTAGTGGGGGCGGCTGTCGAAGCAGAGTAGGAGCAGTGGGCAGAGGTGGCCTCAGCAGTGGGGGTGGCTGAGACAGTGAGGTGGGCAGTGGAGGGGGGGCAGGTGCAGGGGGCACCGATCGAGGCACAGATGTTGAGACAGATGTAATCTGGACCTAAGGGAAGAGAAAATAAGAGTGAGAATCTAGGTGCCTATATATACTCAGGCTTTAGGTGGTGCCTCTCTTCTCTTCTGAGGGCTTTTGCTCACCCCTTCTCACCTCATCATCTTCCTCTAGGGCTGGCGCTGGCAAGGGAGCCCCTCTCCTAGCCTCCTCCATAGGGACTGGGGCTCCAGGGGCCCCATCCTGCTCAGCCTCCCATTCCTGCAGCACCTCCTCCAGATTGAAACGTCTCCGGTAGCTCACAAAGAATGTCTTCACCTGAGTCAGAGTCTTGTTGCCAATCACCTCTGCAATAGCCCCAAAGTCTTTGCCATATCTACGGATGGCTGCAAGGGTCAAAAGGGCAGCAGAGTGTGAATGTCCCTCAGAGCTAGTTTACTTCCCTAACTCTTTCCCTCCACCTTCTGCTCCTTGGAGGGTAAGAGACTTTCCAGGGGTCCTCTGTTCTTTCCTATGGTCTGACCCACCTTGCACAGCCAAAAGCTGCTCATCTGTGGTCCAGCGGGAGTTGAACTTGGTATTGGCCTAGAGAGCAAGGAATATGAATAACCTTTTAAAAATATGGAAATAGAATCCCTGATCCTTATGCAGAACTCCCCCTTTTTATTCTGTCTCCAGAGAGAACCCTCTTCTGCACCCAAATCTGCAGCTCAGCCTTACCTCAGGGGGGCGAAGTGGGTCAATGCCACCCTCCAGGGCTTGTCGGAGGCTGCTGTTGGTCTGCTTCATGCTCTGCACCTGGAGAAGTGGAGGGAAGATCAGACTCCATCCCTAGGAGGTCACCACCCCCAGCCTCACCAGGGCCCCACCTCCCCAACAAAAAGCTCTCAGACACCACCATCCAGCTCATTCCTCCATCACAACCACTTGGTAGGGGAGATGCTGTGGTCCTTTCTCCCTATTCAAAAGCCACTTTTTTAACAAGGTCCAGAAAAGAACTCCAGTCCCAGACATGGGGCCAAACCAGGCTTGGCGCCTACACCCGCTCCTTTACAACTCGGCTGCCCTTAAAACAGTTCCTAGGAGCTGAGCCCTCACACTGTACACCTCCTCTTTTCTTGAGCCCCCACCTGGCGCTTGAGAGAGATGAGCTGGGAGTCAAGACCACGGAGTGTGAGGTTAGCAAGGTCTGGGCTTCCTGACACCGCAGTGAGGCCCTCAGGGCTCAGGTACATGCCCTTAGGTGGGCGTCGCCGGGTTCGCAGTGGGTGGTGGCGGTACTGAGACACCTGGACCTCTTTCTTTCCTGGACCTGGGCGTGCATTCAAGGGCCGAGAGGGCAGAAGCTGCAGGGAAATGAGGGAGTAGATGATGCAGAGCCCAGGGACAGGCAGATGATCAGGTGGAACCAGAGACACTCAACACCTCACCTCTCTCTTGGGGTCTCCAGCATCTGGCTCTCCCTCGCTCACAGCTCCTCGTCCTTCTTCAACCTCATCGCTGCTGACACAGAGGCCAGGGAGGGAATGAGGCAAGGACAGGCTAGGAAAACTGCCTATCCCCACCCGGCGCTGACCAGTGCCCCTACCTGTCCTCCTTGTCCTTGCGGCCACCCAGGCGCCGTGCCTGTCTGTCCATCACACTAGTCCGGCTTCGGGTCTTCTTCCAAGAATAGTAATACTTCACCAGGCTGGGAATTAGCTTGTCTGGCAGCTACAAGTGTAAGACCAGAGTGGGGGCCCACCCAAGACTCTGGGCCCCAGGCAGCTGGTGGAGACAACGGGCGGAGGAGCTCTGAGGGTCTGGGCAAGGGGCTTTACCATCTGCTGGATCCGCTGGAAGCACTTGCCATGGAACCCAAAGGCCTGCTCAAACAGCACCTTGTCCTCCACGGTCCACTCATCAGGGAATGGGGTGAAGTTGGCCAGGTCAGCCAGGGACTTCTCCACATCATGCTTATGCCAGAGGAGCATGCCCAGTGCCTGGCCAAGCACATGAGAGCATCTCAGACTCTGCCACTCTAGCACCATCCCATCCCTACCCCCAAATGCCCATCCAGCCCCGGCTCACCTGCTCGATGTTATAGCCATGCTTCTCCTTGGCCATTGCAATGTACTTGTCAACTGCAGGGGGAGGAGCAAAGTCTTGGACAGGGGGTTATGGCTCCTAACCCAAACCTGTCCAGAGAAGGGTAACCCCCAAGGGCAAAGCCCCTGACCCTCAGCCCCAGGGCAAGGCTGAACCCTCACACTTCCAACTTCCAGCTCCTTTTCTTTCTTCCTTTTTTTTTTTTTTAAAGACAGGGTCTTAACAATTGCCCAGGCTGGTTTCAAACTCCTAGGCTTAAGTGATCCCCCTGCCTCAATCTCCCAAGTAGCTAGGACTACAGGTGTGTTATCACAGTATTCAGCTTACATCACACTTCTGAGAAGAGCTGGTCTCGGGAGGAGATGAAGCCAAGCCCCCACCTCCCAGGGCTAAGCCTGAACCAGGAGCCCGCCCCACTCACGCTTGGCATCTGACACACAGTGGTTGGGTGACCACACCAGCATCCCCTTCAGCTCCTTGTTACTGTATCGAGCAGGACTCTCTGAAGGCCAAACAGCATGAGGGAAGAACTCAGATCAGTCTGGTGGCACCAGCCTGGACCCAAGGCCAGAGGGCAGCAGAGGAATGGGGCTTGGGAGGTGAGGCCCAGAGGGTAAGGAGGGGCAGAAACCCAGACAGGAAGGCATAGCAGAAAAAGTAACCATGCCGAGGCCACCCACCTCGCCGGCCCGCCTGTCCTTCCAGTAGGAGCCAGCCAAGGGCTTCCCAGGTGAGGCTGCAGGCCAAGCCATCGCCCTCTACCCCTCCCTTCACCGCCTGTCCTGCCACTCACCAGGCTTGCACTCTGGAATTACAGCCTGGTAATTGGTTCCAACGCGGATCATGCTGTCTGTGGAGCCAGGAGGCAGTTCAGGACTCCAGGGATGGAGGGAGGGCAGAAGGATTGGGGGGGGGGGGGGGGCTGGCCTAGAGTTCTCCTTCCTGACCACCGAGGGCCCCGACGTTCACCTTTCTTCCCTATATACCCTCTGCCACAGAGGGGACTGGAAGAGGAAGAGACCCTGTCTAGTCATGACCAGGGCACGGGGGGAGGGGGGCAGGGGACGACAAGAGGACAGTTTTAGAGCCCAGGCCAAAGCAGAGCGCTTTGTTCTGACTGAGGGTGAGGGCGTGGAGGGCAGCCCCTAGACCTGGACCACAGCCTGGGAACCCTGGGCCCCTCCCCAGCACATGAGTCTCAGGCTCTGTGTGGAGATGTCTTTCCAGCCCCTGCCCCTGCCAGACCTCAGTCCCCTGAAGGTGGCAAGGTATGAGGGACCTAATCTGAAAAGCAGACACGCCTAGGTCCCTCAGCGACTGAGGGCAGGGCGGGGGCAGGCAGGACCGCCTCCATAGCAGCAAGGGGCCCAGGCAGCAGCCCCAGGATTGAGGGAGCAAGCAAGGCAGAGGCTCCGATCCAGGACAGGCAGGAACCATCAGCGTAAGAGACCCGTAGTCTACCACTCTTCCCGCCCCCGCCCCACGCCTCGACCCTGGCCAGCGGGCTAGCAACCCCCAGCCTCCCGGCTCACCGTGCGAGTGCTCCTCCTCGCTGCTGTCATCCTCCGAGGGCGGCTGGCCGCCGTTGGGCGCCGTCTTGGCCCGGCTGCGGGACAGGATCCCGGAGCCCGCACTCGGTTTCTCCATCACCGCGGGCATTACCCTGCCCGGCTGCCCCGGGGGGGGCGCAGGGGCCCGCGGCGAGCAACGGTGGTGTCCGCGTTCGCCTCAAGTGCCGTCCCCGGCCCGACCTGGAGAGGTCGCCACTGAGGCTACCAGAGGCCGGAGGTCAGCGTGGCTGGGGTTCGGTGGGGTGGGAGCCCGGCTGGCAGCCCCAGCGCTCACCGCGACCCTCCTGGGCGAGGGCGTCGGAAAAGTTTGTGCAGAAGTGGGGTACGCGGGGGATGAGCGCAAGGTCCAGCGTGGCTGGGGCAGGCTCGCTCTATGCGACCCTCGGGGTTGAGGCTCCCCCTGAGAAGTGGGGGCGTCCTGCCCTCGGGCACCCGGGAGCCCCACCGCCCCCGTCGTTCAACTGGCAAGTGCGAGTGCCGCAGCGCAGTTTACGCCCCCGCGGGCTCTGAGCCTCTCGGGGGCGCCGGAGATGCCCCAGTGCTCGGGCTGGTACCCCTGTCCCGGCCGGACCCTTGGCCAAGACGGCAGCCGGCGGGGCCCCGGCGACGGCAGGACGGCGCGCACCGCGCCGGGGCAGAGTTGCCGGGAGCGGGCGGAGCGCAACCGCGGGCGCCGCCTCGCACCCTCCCCGGCGCGCTCGCTCTTCCCACCGCGCTCTCCCTGCCGCGCTCGCGCTGCCGCCTGCCCGCCCGCTCTCGCCGCCTCTCGCTCCTCGCACACACAATGAAGCTGCTGGCAGGGAAGTAGTGCCGGCTGCGGCCTCAGCACCCCTCCCCCAGCCGATGCCTCCGCCAGCTGAACATCTGGCCCTGGGGTGGGAGGGAGGGCCCGGGGCGGGGCCTCGGGCCGGGCCGGACCTCCAGGGGGTGGGGTCAGGGCCGGGGCGGGGAGCGCGGTCCTCAGCGCGTCTCCCCTGGCGTCCCTGGACGCCCCGACTCGCCCTTGGGCGAGATCCCACTGCACCCCAGGAGTAGCTGGGGGCTCAGCTCCACCCACGCACACCTCGGCCCCACACACCAGTAGGCTCGGGTTCCTGCCCCGGGGTCCCAGAGGCCGTCTGCCCGCCCGGGTGGAGCCCAGCTTTTCCTTCCATTTCCCTTCCTGCCAAGGAACTCCCCGCCCCCCTTCCGCAGGGGGACACCCCCCCTTCGTGCGCCCTTGGGGGCCAGAGCGGATGGGAGGCTGGACTGGTGAGGAATGAATTCCTCCAAGGGCTGCTGGCCCAGAGTCCGGCTTCTGGTGGACCTATGGGTCCCAGAGATCCCAATTCCCTTTAATTGGGGCAGTCTGCACCCCAGAGCAGTGGCTCCGAGGTCTGAGGGATGGGAGTGAGAGGTCTGGAGGAAGGTCTGAGTTGCAGGCCCACTCCTCCGCTGGGTCCCCTGTCACCCCAGCTGGAAGCACCGGCGAGAGACAGACAGGGAAGCGGGTAGGAAGGCGCAGACGGAGATGGGGGAGGGGGTGGGCAGAGACTTTCAAAGCCAGATCCAGCCACCCTGCCAGGCGCACAAAGAGCCCGCGCGCACACCGGCGCCCGGGGCACGTGCTGCAGCGCACGCACCGAGCCCCCGCCCGCGCCCTCCCACCCGGACCTCCGGGCACACCCGCTGTGCCCAGGACGAGCCGCTCTGGCGCTCCTTTCCTTTCCTGTCCTCGGCCGCTCTGTAATCAGATCCCTAAATTTAGAAGCAGCCCAAGACCAGCCAGGGGTCCCCGCCCCCACCCCTGCCTGTGGCCCACCCGCCGGGGTCTTGCGGTCCGGCCACGACCCGGCTGGGGCTGCCTGTCCCTAGGGACTCTCTTCGGGCACCCTGGCCGACTCTGACGCGACCCCACCCAGGTCGCCGCGCTCTCAGGCCCCAAGAGGCCACAAAGCCAGCGGCCACGTTGCCCGCCACACCTCGGGCCAGGCATGTGGGGCCGTTTTCCACCTCTTATATCACGGATTGGGCACGGAGCCTCAGGGTGAGAATGTCTCACAAAGGAGGAGAATGAATGGACCAGTGGACCAAGGACCGGTCTAAGCTAAAGGGTCTGCTCCAAGGCGAACCGCGCCTTCCCAGGCTGGCCCCTCTGCAGTGGCAGGGTGCCATCCCAGCGCCGAGCCTCCACCCTTTAGAGAGGCTCTTGTCTCTGTCCCCTTCTGCTTGGCAGGCAACCATTGTGCACACCACCCTCTCCTCCCAAGGCGTCTTTCATCTTGCAGGCCGCCTCCCATCAGGCAGTGCCCTAGTTGGGTCCCCCACCCCACTCTCCTGCCCCCTCGCCCCACCCCAGGCCTCAGCCTCAGTATCATGCCTATTTCTTGCCTTCCTCTTCCAGTGATGCCCCAGGTACCCTCCACCCCCACCCTCTAGTGTGATCCAGGCCAAAGCTCCCCTCTGGCTCTCGCCTCCCCACCCCCACCCCTGCCCTCACCCCAGGACCCAGATCTAGTCTCACTTCTATCCGGAGCCAGAGGACAGGCTCCTCTGAAGGTGGGGGCAGGGAGGGGAGGTTTATTCCTTGGAATGGAGGGGTCCCTAAGCCCCAGTATAAGGAGGCTTCTGCCAGGGAGGTGGGACACAACACAGCAGGGGTATAGTTAGAGTTTGGGGGCGACAGTGGGAACCACTGGGTCCCTGGAGGAGGTGCATTCCTAGTGAGCAATCTCCTCCCAAGGGGCAAGGGTGCAGGGTTAGGAGGGGGAAGGGAAAGGCCCCACCCCTCCCACCTGCTGCAGCCACCCCCTCCCCAGCAGGCCCCCTCTTTTGTGCAAAGGCACACAAAGGACAAGGGGCCCCGGCAGGCCTGGCCATCTGCTCCCAGCAGCCTGAAGGCTCTTAAAGAGACAGCACCCCCTCCCTGCTGCCCAGGGCTGTGGGTGCGGCTGTGCCACAGGCCCAGGTCACAGCCTACCCCTGGTTCCACCCACCTTTCTCTGCTCCCCAACCCCCCCCATCAGAAATCATCCTCCCCCAGAGGTGGGGTGCAGAGGTGCCACGTGGTCAGAAACCTGGGGTGGGAATGGAGAGGCAGCCCAAGGGCTAGTCCCTCCTCTCTACCCTGGGTGGGGGAAGGGGCCAAGGACAGGGGTCCCTTATCTCCCTGAGGCCACCTGAAAGCTGAGCAGGGGCCGCAGGTCTCCCAGGAAAGTCCTACCCGCCATTTTGGCCCTTGAGTCCTACTCATCCTTCCCCCCAGGAGGGGGACCACAGCGCCTTCTTTTTGAAGGCTGCAAGCCAGCATGCAGGCTGCCTCAAAGCAAGCTCAAGCCCACAACCAGGCTGCTCTTCCAGATGAGGAGACTGAGGTTTTGCCCTGCCCTCATACAGCCCTCTGCCCGAAGCTTCCTTTGCCTACGCCAAAAAAAATCCCCTGACTCCTCACATCCCGAGACACCAGCCTTGGCCAGCTAAGGACTTGGCGATTTGCCACACGGCTCACAGACACAAATGCACTTGATTTGTGTGATTGTGTCTCTGCGTTCAGGGCTGTGTTCTCAGGGCCAGGCACACAGGGGGCACTCAGCATTTGTAGAAGGAATAGTCATTAGCCCACAGAACGTTTCTTTCCACCAGCCCATATTCTGCCTGCCGGGCATCCAGATCCCTCCTCAAGGTGAAGCAGAGAGGACAAAAGTTGCACAGGGATGCTGTAAAAGAAAGGAAGGGTGACCTTGGGTGAGCCACCCGGGCTCCCCTCCTCCCAAAGGCAGGGGCAGCTGGAGCCAATCCCCAGCCCGCCAACCCTGCCAGACAGACTGGGACTGTCCTGAGTGAGAAGCGAGGCTGGCTGCTGCGGTGTGGTGCCTGGGACCCTGTCCAGGTCCTTGGTGGCCACGGCCCAGGGGCTAAGCTTGGGAAGGGAGGGAGGGATGCAGCCAGGCCTGGGGCAGAGGAGGGAGGGTGACCGAACCTGGGCAGAAACCTGGCTGAGCAGTTGGGGGCCATGGGGGTGCTCCCCTCAAGGAGTAGGAGGTGACTTGGAGGAAATGGAGGCGGTGGCTGAGTGGAAGGAGCCTGGGGACTCCGCCGCCAACACCACAGTGCTGCCCAGGCACTGCCCTACCGGGTGCCCACAGGCCCTTCTGGCCGGCTGTGTGCCCAGGGTGCTGCCCTTCCATCTCTACGTCCTCCCCACCGCCTCTGCCCCCCTCATACACACACTTGTGAAAAGGCTGAGGTGACAGAGGTGCCGATCTGGTGTTTGGCACTGTCTCAGTACTAGGGCTGCAGAAAGCAAGGAGGCCATTTGGGAGTGACACTGGGGAGGAGGGAGCAGAAGCCGGCGGGCATGCGGTCTGGGAGGAGACCCGGGCTCCTTACACCCACGCCGGAGAAATCTGACTCCTGAGCCAAGCAGAAACTCGGGAGGAAGAGTCAGCGAGAGCTCTGGTGACAAGAGAGGGGAAGGTGACAGGAGCCTCCCCAGACCCCATGAGGGGGCAGCCTCGGACCTAGGAGCCTGCTTGGTTTCTCCGGAAGTGGGAAAGCACCCCCCAACCTCACCTGGGCTGCGCCCTCTGGTGGTGACATCTGGCATCATCGGGGCCCTACCTTTGAGCACAAATGTCCTGGAGCCTGAGCCAGGCACCTCAAGAAGCTGAAATTGACCCCCTGGGCCATTAGAGTCACTAAGCCTTAGATCATGCCCTAGAGCAAAGTCACATGATCAGAGGCCTCTGGAGACATGACAGTGGAGAGATTAGGAACAGAGGGATGTGCAAAACGGGCAGCCAGGGAGCTCAAATCTAGTGTGAGTCCCAGCTCTTGGGTGAGTGTCTTGGCCTTTCTGAGCCTCAGTCTCTCCATCTCTAAAAGGAAATGATAACTGACCTCATCAATTACTAGGAGGATCCAGCGTGATCTCAGATATAATGTAAGGACATCTATCTAAACGGTGTGTGATGCCGCATGCCTGTAATCCTAGTGCTTGGGAGGCTGAGGCAGGGGGAGTGCCCTGAGTTCGAGGCCAGCCTGGGATATATGTAGTGAGTTCAAAGCCAGCCTGAACTACATAGCAAGACTCTGTTTCAAAAAAAAAAAAAAATCCATCAACACTGGCTTCCTTCTGAAGCTAGGATCTCCTCTTGAGCACCCCAAGTAGGCCCCCTCTGCTCATGGCTTACTGCTACATGAGGCCACCCATACCCTGTAGACCAGGGGTGGACTGCTCCTCCTCCATGATTGGACAACTGACATCCTCACTTTGGCCAACAGCTCCAAATTCCTACCTCTGTCTAACCCCTTCAATCCATTATGCACACACAAATCAATACAGATTGGTGGGGCAGTACTGAGGATTGAACCCTGGGCCTTGACACTGAGCTATATTTCTTGGCCCTTTTTGTATATTTTGAGACAGGTTCTTCCTAAATTCCTGAGGCAGAGTTGTCTTTTTTTTTTTTTTTGGTACCGAGGATCGAACTCGGGTTCTTGCACTTGCGAGGCAGGCGGCGGAACCACTGAGCTAAATCCCCTGCCCTAAGGCAGAGTTTGAACTTGTGATCCTCC